GAGCGCGCGCGAAGCGCGCGCGATGGTTCTAGTTATAACTATAACTATAACTATAACTATAACTATGACTAGGACTATGACTATGACTATGACTATAACTATGAGTATGACTATGAGTATGAACATGACTATGACTATGACTATGACTATGACTATGACTATGACTATGACTATGACTATGACTATGACTATGACTATGACTATGACTATGATCATGACTATGACTATGACTATGACTATTACTGTTACTATTACTGTTACTATCACTTTTACTATCACTATCACTATTACTATTACTATTAATATTACTATTACTATTACTATTACTATTACTATTACTATTACTATTACTATTACTATTACTATTACTATTACTATTACTATTACTATTACTATTACTATTACTATTACTATTACTATTACTATTACTATTACTATTACTATTACTATTACTATTACTATTACTATTACTATTACTATTACTATTACTATTACTATTACCATTACTATTACTATCACTATTACCATTACTAGTACTATTACTATCAGTACTACTACTACTATTATTCTTACTCTTACTCTTACTCTTACTCTTACTCTTACTCTTACTCTTACTCTTACTCTTACTCTTCTCCTTATTCCTTATTCGAATGTACTCCTACTCCCCCCTCAGGCCGGCAGATAGGGGCCCCATCCGGGTGGTCCCATCCTAACCTGTAAAAAATCATACAAAATCAACATTTTTCTTATTTTTTCCTCTCGACATGGACGTCCTGTCGTCCACGGCGATCATCCATTGCAAAAAATACCACAAAGAGCACACGCGCGCGTTCATGTCAGAATCCTACCGAACACCGTGTGTTTGCAAGCATTTCAATATAAAAACATCAAAAACCCAATGTTTTTTTTTCACAAAAATTATACAAATTTCCTGCCTGGGCTCTCTTGCTGAAATCATAGGAAAACCATAGGAATCTTAAGAATTCGGTCAAATCCAGCGATTCACGTCATCGCGCGGTGCACTCGCGATGCTCTGTCATGCGCCCCGGCCGCGAATCCTGTGCAAAAAATACCACGCGGGCGAATTGCGCGCGCGTCGCCGCGAGCGCATGCTCAAATCCTTCTAGAGTCGTCGCCGTCATTGGCACCGTCGCATGGACGTCCTGTCGTCCACGTCGCAAAATGCATGGCAGGAATGGGACCCGGCTTACTGGGCCGTTCTCGACACAGCCACCTCTGGCTTCCTGCGGTGTACCGGGCCATTCTCGACTCGTCTGGCAATGCGTGCGCGGCATTCAACACGCGCTCGCCAGTTCCCGTCGGCAACCGCCATCGCGGCCGCATCAGCTGTACCAAACCGGCTGGCCGGTGTGACTTCGGCCCCCAGTTGTGCCAGCTTTGCTTCTTATGTTGTGGGAGGGCGGGTGGGACTGGGCATGCCATGCTTGACTCGCTCGAGCTGGCTAGCTTGACTCCTACTCCTATCCTTATTCCTTATTAGAATATACTCCTACTCCCCCCTCAGGCCGGCCATTAGGGGCCGCATCCGGGTGGTCCCATCCTAACCTTTAAAAAACAATACAAAATCAACATTTTTCTTATTTTTTCCTCTCGACATGGACGTCCTGTCGTCCACGGCGATAATCCATTGCAAAAAATACCACAAAGAGCACACGCGCGCGTTCATGTCAGAATCCTACCGAACACCGTGTGTTTGCAAGCATTTCAACATAAAAACATCAAAAACCCAATGTTTTTTTTCACAAAAAATTGTACAAATTTCCCGCCCGGGCTCTCTTGCTGAAATCATAGGAAAACCATAGGAATCTTAAGAATTCTGTCAAATCCAGCGATTTCACGTCATCGCGCGGTGCACTCGCGATGCTCTGTCATGCACCCAGGCCGCGAATCCTGTGCAAAAAATACCACAAAGAGCACACTCGCGCGTTCATGTCAGAATCCTACCGAACACCGTGTGTTTGCAAGCATTTCAACATAAAAACATCAAAAACCCAATGCTTTTTCACAAAAATGCTTTGGGGTGTCCTGTCAGACCGTCGGGCTTCCTCCGGCCACCTCTGGCTTCCTGCGGTGTACCGGGCCATTCTCGACTCGTCTGGCAATGCGTGCGCGGCATTCAACACGCGCTCGCCAGTTCCCGTCGGCAACCGCCATCGCGGCCGCATCAGCTGTACTAAACCGGCTGGCCGGTGTGACTTCGGCCCCCAGTTGTGCCAGCTTTGCTTCTTATGTTGTGGGAGGGCGGGTGGGACTGGGCATGCCATGCTTGACTCGCTCGAGCTGGCTAGCTTGACTATTACTCTTGCTCTTATTATTACTACTACTATTACTATTACCATTACTATTACTATTACTATTACTATTACTATTACTATTACTATTACTATTACTATAACTATTACTATTACTATTACTACTACTATTCCTATTACTATTATTATTACTATTACTATCACTATCACTATTACTATTACTATTACTATTACTATTACTGTTACTATCACTATACTATTACTATTACTATGACTATTCTATTACTGTTACTATTCCTATTATTATGACTATGACTATTACTACTACCAGTACTATTACTATTACTATTATTAGTACTATTACTATTACGACTACTAATTACTATTACTATTACTATTACTATTACTATTACTATTACTATTACTATTACTATTATTATTACTATTACTATTACTATTACTATTACTATTACTATTACTACTACTAGTACCACTACTATTACTATTACTATTACTATTACTATTACTATTACTATTACTATTACTATTACTATTACTATTACTATTACTATTTCTATTACTATTAGTATTATTATTACTATTACGGTGACTATGGCTATTAGTAACACTATCACTATTATTTTTACTGTTTCTATTAGTATTACTATTGCACTTACCATTACTATTATTATTACTATTACTATTGCTATTGCTATTACTATTACTATTACGATTACTATTATCACTATTATTAATATTACTATTATTATTACTATTACTATTACTATGACTATGACTATGATTATGACTATTACTATTACTATTACTATTACTATTACTATTACTATTACTATTACTATTACTATTACTATTACTATGACTATGATTATTATTATTACTTTCACTATTACTATTACTATTACTATTACTATTACTATTACTATTACTATTACTATTACTATTACTATTACTATTACTATTACTATTACTATTACTATTACTATTACTATTACTATTACTATTACTATTACTATATTACTATTACTATTACTATTACTATTACTATTACTATCACTATTACTATTACTATTACTATTACCATTACTATTACTATTACTATTACTATGACTATTACTATTACTACTACTACTACTATTACTATTACTATTACTATTACTATTACTATTACTATTACTATTACTATTACTATCACTATTACTATTACTATTACTATTACAATTACTATCACTATGACTATGATTATGACTGTGACTTTTACTATTACTATTCCTAATACTATTACTATTGCAATTACTATTGCTATTACTATGACTATTACTATTACCAATACTATTACTATTACTATTACTATTACTATTATTATTACTATCACTAGTACTATTACTATTACTATTACTATTACTATTACTATTACTATTACTATTACTATTACTATTACTATTACTATTACTATTACCATTACTATTACTATTACTATTACTATTACTATTACTATTACTATTACTCTTACTCTTACTATTACTTTTACTTTTTATTATTACTGTTACTATTACTATTACTATTACTATCACTATAACTATTACTATTACTATTACTATTACTATTACTATTACTATTACTATTACTATTACTATTACTATTACTATTACTATTACTATTACTATTACTATTACTATTACTATTACTATTACTATTACTATTACTATTACTATTACTATTACTATTACGTTACTGTTACTGTTACTGTTACTGTTACTGTTTCTGTTACTGTTACTGTTACTGGTACTGGTACTGGTACTGTTACTGTTACTGTTACTGTTACTGTTATTGTTACTGTTACTGTTACTGTTACTGTTACTGTTACTGTTACTGTTACTGTTACTGTTACTGTTACTGTTACTGTTACTGTCACTGTCACTGTCACTGTCACTGTCACTGTCACTATTATTATTACTATTTCGATTACTATTACTATTACTATTGCTATTACTATTACTGTTACTATTACTGTTACTATTATTATTATTATTACTATTACTATTACTATTACTATTACTATTACTATTACTATTACTATTACTATTACTATTACTATTACTATTACTATTACTATTACTATTACTATTACTATTACTATTACTATTACTATTACTATTACTATTACTACTATTACTATTACTATTACTATTACTATTACTATTACTATTACTATTACTATTACTATTACTATTACTATTACTATTACTATTACTATTACTATTACTATTACTATTACTATTACTATTACTATTACTATTACTATTACTATTACTATTACTATTACTATTACTATTACTATTACTATTACTATTACTATTACTATTACTATTACTATTACTATTACTATTACTGTTACTATTACTATTACTAGTATTATTACTATTACTATTACTATGACTATGACTATGACTACGACTATTACTATTACTATTACTATTACTATTACTATTACTATTACTATTACTATTACTATGACTATGACTATGACTACGACTATTACTATTACTATTACTATTACTATTACTATTTCTATTACTATTACTATTACTATTACTATTTCTATTTCTATTACTATTTTTTATTATCATCATCATCATCATCATCTTCTCATGCTTCCTTCGTGTGAGCCCGCCACCGTCGCCCTGTGCCTTTCTGCGCGCCGCCGAGGAGAATTCTGGGCGCGCCGAGGCGCAGGCTGGTATGACCAAGGGCCAGCTCGCCCTGGACAACCGGCGCCGGATGTGGCGGAACAAGGACAAGAGGATGAAGGAGCTGGGGCAACGCTAGGGGGGGATAGGCTCAGGGGGGATGTATCGACCTCCGATCGCCCGATGGCCCCGTACGGATTTGCCATCGGGGGTCTATCGTCGATCTATCGGCGATGTATCTTCGATTTAGGAATGATGTTCCCCGCCCCCCTCGAGCTGGTCCCTTCCTATAGTGGCTCCTCAAAGGAGCTGGGGATCCAGAACTTTCAGACCTACGACTGACGCCAGGCAGGAGGAGGTTAGGAGGAATGGAGAGGGGGAGCATCAGGGCAAGCTGCGGGGGGAGGAGGAGGAGGAGGAGGAGGAGGAGGAGGAGGAGGAGGAGGAGGAGGAGGAGGAGGAGGAGGAGGAGGAGGAGGAGGAGGAGGAGGAGGAGGAGGAAGAGGATGACGGGGACCCTGCAGAACTTCTCAGGACCCTCCAGAACATGTCCAATACCTTTAAGCTCTCCCTCGTCTCTCTCCCTCTTCCTCTCTGTCTGCCTATTCCTTTCTCTGCCTATCTCTTATCCTCCTCGCCTTCCTCCTCATTCTACACTGTAGCTGTTTTCACCACCATCGGCGCGCTCCGTCCTCCGCGCCCCGTGGTACCCTCTGCGCGGGGACGGCCTCTCCCCGCGGCTGGGCTACCCCGCCCGTCGTCCCTGGCCCCCCCCCGCTTCTCTTTCTGCTCCCCCCCCATCGCGGGGCGCCTGGAGCTCCCGAGTGCACGTGGTTCAGCCTGTGCGCTCCTTGCTGTCGGCCGGCCGTGTTGAGTGGTTCCACGGTCCCTGGCGGCGACGCCCTGGTATCCTCCTGCTCCCTCGCTCTGGTGACGAGGCGTGGTCTCCCTGGTTCAGGCAGCCCCCAGCCGTCGGTGCCAGCTCGAGAATGCCTGTGGCCTACCTGATCCGGTGGTTCAGGAGCACGCGGTGTCGAGTGCATCCACAGTTTCCCTGGCTACTTCGCCCGTCTTGAGGCCTTCTGTGGACGGACGTTCGCTGGATCAGTACTCCCCCTGGGGGGGAAGTGGTGTGCGACTTCAGTGGCGCCACCCGACGCACCAGCTTGGACCATCTGGGCTTTCATGGCAGTCATCGCAGTGGACTGGCTGTCCGCCATTGGTCACACCTTGGTACGGCCTCCGCGCCATTTTGTCCGCGGCCCAACTTTGGTTGGCTAATTTGCAGTGCACGCCCCTGGAATTCACCTCTGGCAGCTTGCAGACCCTGGCAGTCAGTTACCCTGGCAGTCAGCACCCCCCCTGCAGCTCGTTGCACGTTTGCAGCCCCTGGCAGTGTTGTAGCACCGCCCCCTCTTCGGCTACTTCCTGGTCCCGTTCTGAGTCGCGGTGGTAGGCCTGCTTCTGCTTGGTCATTAGGCCCTTGCGCGGCCCGCTCGGACTCGACTCGCCGCTGTGCGCTCTCGCCTGCGGCTGCTGACTAAAAAAAACCCTACTGGCCCATCCAGAAACGATGCGAGTTGCCGTGATCAGGTATGTGGAGGAGCCTGCAGTGGAAGAAAGGGTCAGGGACGTCGTCATAACCCAAGAAGGGCGAGGATGGACCAGGATGCAGGAGGAAGCGGATGATGAGGAGGAGGATGAGGGGGAGGGGGAGTCGTTGTCGGAAGTTGGCATGAGCATGGTGCTGTGCTCTATTTCGGCCAGGTTACTGAGCTAGGAGGGTGGCGCATAGGACCACGCGGGGATCCGCCACTTCTGCCACCACCCGACCAGACCCAAACACAACAAATGTACCGAGGCACACAGGAGACGAACGAGGGCGACCCAGCGGGGGAGCGCGGAGACGCCAGGCCCCTATCTGGAAGGCAGGTTTGGGCAAGCAGATCGACAGCTCTGAGCTCGGCTTCCAGCCGGTAACAGGGAACACCAATTCGGAAAACGAGCACCTGCATCGGTCAAGCGACGCAACGCTGCGGATGGTGCAGGACCTCTTTCCTGCGCGGACGAGGGGCAGTGACGGCGCTGAGGAGGCAGCGACGGAGGCGGCCCACGGGACCCACGGGACAGGGGGGCAGGCGGACGGCCCCTGACTGCACGAGCAGGTGTGTGCTCGCTGCGCGATCGGTGCATCTGCAAATGGGCGGGAGACAAGGGCCAACACCGAACAATAACCAGCGCCGTACAACCACAGGCAGTGGATTCGTACCACCCAGAGTGGGGGAACGACGGTGTCATGACAGGCGCGAGCGCTGGCGTGAAATCCACAAACGTATCAGCATCGAAATGCGAGGGCCGCAGAGAAGCCGTCAAGTTCACGAGGTCGAGTCGGGTCGACCCACGACGAGGGGGCAGACAAGACGTGGAGGCGAGCGCCTCGAGGCAGACGACAGCCCCACTGTGGGCGGAGTGGGGGCGACCCGTAGCGACAGGACGGGGACCGTGATGCGGTGCTGAACCTGACCAGGCCTACGCGAGCTGAGCGGCGTCTTCAGAATCCTTGCCCGTGGACTCGGGAAAGGCGTCGTGGTAGGCCCTGGAACGGCGAGGCATCCACGCGGCCGACAAATCCTGCTCGCTAGGAACTGCGAACTGGCTCCAACGTGTCCTGCAAACGAAACCCTTGTATAGTGTGCAGAGGCGGCCGCCCCGCCAGCGACCGTCGTGGATACGATCCACACAGTATGCGCACTGCGGCACTTCACACGGCTTGCAAACCGTTCAGTCGAACAGGCATCTGTTGCTGCGTACAGCTGGCCAGGTCGGAGGGCGGTCAAAAGAGAGGTCGTCCTGACAAGCCCGACCCGCTTCGGTGAGACTTCTTGTCGTGCTGCGTGCTCGAGTGGGGCTCCTGTGGCGGCAGTGCGCCGTATCGGAGCGCGTTCTCGAAAGACAGCCCCGCGGCGTTGATATCGCCGTCGGGACGCCGCGCGTTTGCTCGGGGACGTTCTGAGCGGACGAGCAGCTGTCGCCTGCAGCACTGCCCGGGCTGCGGGGAGGGGAAGCCGTGTGCGGCGCTGAGCGGGACCTATCACGAACGCCGTTGGCCTCACCTCTTCTGAGCTTGGCGGCGATGTCGCCGATGGGCCTGCGTGGCGAACTGGAGTGCGAACGGGGTCGACCCATGGTGCCAGGCGTGAAGGCACTCCCAGCATGAGGCCTTCAGGGGGTCCTGGCCGACTCGCGAGCAGAGAGCGCACGCCCACTGGCGTCATTGCTGCCTGGGCTCCCAGCTTGCATGGCTTCAGGAAGTGATGCAGGAGCCAGCCAGGCATCCCCGCGAACTTTCACCCGTGCATGCTGCTCTGAAACATTATCTAATGGCATGCGGCCCATCCCGCCGCAGTGCTTGGATTGTGGGCCAGGGTCATCAGGGATGCTTCTCGGGGTCTCTTCGGAGCGCTCTCGGGGGCCTCTTGGGGGCAGTTTTGGGGCTTCTTGGGGGCCTGCTGGGGCCTCTTAGGATACTCTTGGGGGCCTCTTGGGGCTTCCTGGGGGGGCCTGCTGGGGGCCTCTTGGGAGGCCTCTTGGGGGCCTCTGAGGATCTTGGGGGCCTCTTGGGGCTTCGGGGGGCCTGCTGGGGGCATCTTGGAGGCCTCATGGGGCCTCCTGGGGGCCTCTCTCGAGGCCGAGGGCTCGAGATGTCCGTTCGGGTCCCCCATCGGGGCCCCTTCTTGGAGCCGTCTTGGGGGCCTCTTGGTGCCGTCTCGGAGGCCTCGTGGGCCGCCTCGGGTCCCTCCTGGGCCATTTTGGGGCCCTCTCGGGGGCCTCTTGGGCCGTCTTAGGGCGATCTTGGGGGCCGCTTGGGCCGTCTTGGAGCCCCGGGAAGCCGAGCAGGCGAGAACGCCAACATTGGGCAACCACCAGCCCAACCTCCATCGCAGCCAGCGTGGGCCCCGAACAGCGTGTTCTAGCATGCCAGGCGATGCAACAGACGTGGTGCAGGCTGTGTGGTGGACGCTATGTGCTTCAACCTACGTGCTGCAAGCTGTGTGGTGTCAGCTATGCGGTGCATGCTAGGTTGTGCAATCTACGTGGTGTGAGCTAGGTGATGTAAGCTACGTTCTCCAACCCGTGTGGCGGAGTCAACATACTCGCCTATGTGGTAAGAGCTAGGTTGTGCAAGCTACGTGGTGCAATCTATGGGGTTAGAGTTACGTGGTGCAACGCATGTGGCGCAATCCGTGTGGTGCGATCTATGTGGAGCAAGCTATGTGGCGCAAAGTAAGTGGAGCAAACTGTGCAGTGCTGTTCATATGGTGCGAGCTGTAATAGTGCAGTATACGCAGTGAACGCTATGTGGTGTGAGCTATGCTGTGTAGGCTAGGTGGTGCTGTGCTATGCGCAGGGCAGTGCCCAGGACCGCCAAGCAATGCAACCCAGCGCAACATAGCATAACGAAGTGATATTGTCGATCAAAACCAAACACTGCAGCGCAACACGATGCAATGCACGGCAACGCAATGCAACCCAACATAACACAGCGCACCGCGCCGCACATAACGCAATGTAAATCAGTGACTGCACTGCTAAGTAGCGCAACGCAATGAACGTATCGCACAGCAATTCAATGCCTTTCAAACCAAGTCACACCATCGCAAACACTGCGAACCAATGCAGGCCAATGTACCACAACTCAAATAAAGGCATCGCTATGCAAAGCGCCGCAATGCAGTGCAAAGCGATGCACATCGCTGTGCATGTGTAGGAGCATATGCACTCATCTATGTCGTGTGACCTACATGGCGTAAGATAGGTGCAGCAGTGTATTTGATATGAGCTAGCGTACTCTTGTATGTGGTGTGAGTCATGTGGTATAAGCTCTGTGATGCCACCTATGTGGTAAGAACTACGCGGTGCAAGCGCCTGTGGTGCAAAGCTACACGGTGCAAGCTCTGTGGTGCACTCTATGTGGTAGAAGCTAACGTATCCATTAATGTGTTTTGAACTATGCGGTGTAAGCTACGTGATGCACAGTATATTGTAAGAACACGCGTGCTCACGTATTTTGTCGCGAGCTCCGTGGTGTAAACTAGGTGGTGCAATCTATGATGTAGGAGGTAACGTACTCATCTACGTGCCAGTGGTGTAAGCTACGTGATGCAGTGGATGCAGGAATAGCCAGCGGAGTCACGTATGTTCCGCGAGCTGCATGGTGTGCGCTATGTGGGGCAATCTATGTGGTAGGAGCCATCTATGTGGTGTGCGCTATTTGGTGTAAGCTATGCGGCACAGTCGACTGCAACTTCAATCGATTGGATTGCTATTGATTGGATTGCAATCAACTCAGTTGCAGTCGTGTAAGCTGTGTTGTGAAATGTGGTGGCATCTATGCTTTGCAATCGATTGCAATCGATTGAATTGCAATTGATTGCAATGCAAGCTATTGCATTGCAACCGATTGGATTGCACTGCGCAACAAGGCCCAGGCGACGAGCGGCGACGGCGCGGCGACGGGGCGGCGACGGCGGGGACATACCCGCCAGGCCGCTCACACGGCCTCTGTTCCGCAGGAGCAGAAGTAAGAACCGGTTAGTGCAAGCATTGCTCTGGAAATCATTTGCGCCTTGGGGCCCTCTCGGGAAGCCTCTTGGGGGCCTCTTCGGGCGTCTCGAGGCCATCCTAGGCGCCCTGTGGCGATCTTGCGGCGACTCGGGGCCCTCGTCGCCCGTCTTGGGGCCCTCCTTAGGCCCGAACAAGTCATGCGGGATTACTCCCAGGAGCTCAGGGGCGTTCAAGAGATTTGGCAATGCTGGGTCTTGGCCCCTTAAGGATAAGGGTTTAGGCCCAGGACCTGAAGTCACTCCAACTCGTGCGTCAAGGGCACGGTGGCGGACATCGCGAATATCGATTCAAACGACGGGATCCCGCAGGACGTGCTTCACCAGGAAGAGGAAGAACGAGCGAAGTCGCCGTTGTCACCGTGCAGCCCGAGGCGGCTGGTTCGACGAGCTGGCCGGGGGGAGGCTCCAGAGGACGTGGAGGCAGTCCGCACGGCGAAGGCGATGGCGACGGTGCAGTCAATGCCAGACCAGGACCCGCACCGGGAAGGGAATGTGCGGGTGCGAGCGGGAGTGGTGGAAGCACGAGAACCGCTGACCCGCCCTGCGTTGCCCCCAGAGGGACGCGTGGCGGCGGTGAGGGTGGGGTCCGCCGCGGTGGCGTCGGCGGCGGCTGGGGGAGCGACCAGAAGCCCACTGGAATGCCGTGTCGCGGCCGCATGGCTTCTTCAAGCGACGCCTCCTGGGTCCAAACCACACCGGAGGGTGTGCTGAAGGGGCAACGTGGCTGCGGCTACGGCTCGGGCCTGGGAGAGGGAGGGGGAGGAGGGAGGAGGGAGGAGGACGAATAGGCGGATGAGGAAGAGGACGAACCGCAGGAGGGGGAGCAGAAAGGCTAGACGCCTATCTCATCGGATGCCTCTTGGGAGCTTGTCATGGGGACCTCTTGGCGATCCTGGGGGTCTCTTGGAGCGTCGTGGGTGCCTCGGGGAACAGGGATTAGGAGCATCACGAACACGAGAGAGAGGTGGAGGAGGAGGAGGAGGAGGACAAGGAAGTCAGGGAGGCCTCGATGTCGGGCGTCCTGCCGTGCCTCTGTGAAGCGCGGCGGCGCGAGGTGTGCTCTGTCCTGGCGCTCTCTCGCCTTCTCTCCTCGGCCTCCTAGGTCAGGAGGCCGCCGTTGGGTCAACGTGTTCTTGGGGAGGGGTGCAGGGCGGCCGCCTCCCTTGGACCACGCAGGAATACCGGCGGACGGCTTTTGGCAGTCTTCGGCCTGTGGGGGTCCTCACCGAGCCCCGGTACAGCCAGCACACGTGCGGGACGTAAAGCCGGTCCCGGGGGAGGGGCCCAGAACTCTGGGGGTCCACGCTGCGGCGCAAGGCATCACTTCGGAGTTCAGAGGAAGAGAAAAAGCAGGATGAGGAGGGGCAGAGTAAACTCAGGATTCCCCAGCGATGCTGCAGGACACTCCCGTCCCCCCCCTTAGCCCCCCTGCACCCCCCATACATAGCTGACAAGCGGCCCCGGACATGGAAGAACCCCACTCCCCCGTTTCCCTGGCAGAGCCACCCCTGCCCCGCCCCCAGCAGAGCTGAAGCTCGAGCTGTATCTCTTAGCAACTCAGACGGGATCGACTGAATCCCACCAGCCCTCTGGGCGTCGGTGGTTTAGAGCGTTTCCTCTTCCACCCCTCCTTCCCCTTCGGGGAGGGGTTTATCACTGCTCCCTATTAATATACACCCCCTTCCCCAGGCTACTGGGAGCCAACCCGAGTCCATGAGGGCACCCCCCCACCATCCCTTGTAACAAACAATACAAAACACACTCTGCCCCCACCATCCCTGGTAAAAATACAAAACACACTCTGTCTCCAAATTCTGAGCATGTGCAGCGAACCCGCTGCGGCCTCCCCCCACCATCCCTGTCATCAAAAAAACAATACAGAGTACTTGGCGGCGGCGGCGGCGGCTGCGGCGGCTGCGGCGGTGGCGGCGGCAGGGGCGGCGGCGGCGGCGGCGGCGAGGGCGGCGGCGGCGGCGGCGGCGGCGGCGGCAGCGGTGGCGGCAGCGACTGCGGCGGCAGCGGCTGCGGCGGCGGCGATTTGGCAGCGGGGGCGGCGGGCGGCGGCGGCGGCGGCGGCGCGGCGGCGGTGGCGGCGGGCGGCGCGGTGGCGGCGGCGGACATCGGCGGCGGCGGCGGCGGCGGCGCGGCAGCGGCGGCGGCGGGCGGCGGCGGCGGCGGAGGCGGATTCGCCCCCAGTAGCTGCCCATCCAAAGACGACTGCTGCATATGCTGCGGCTCGGGCCAGGCTCGGGTGCCATGTATGTGTTGGGAGGGCGGGTGGGAGTGAGCGAGACGGCTTGCGGGCGGGGAGGGCGTCTTGACCCCTCCCCCTACCCTCGCCCCTGGACCTGGACGGGGGGTTCCGCGGGTCGTTGGGGGGTCCAAGATTGCCTCGGCGAGGAAGCCAACATCATTGATTTTACGATAGTTTTGGCCCCATTTTGGCCTCCTGGGGGGGCAACGCTAATTCCCCCCCCTTCTTTGATAGATCTCCTGCAGGGTGGCCCAAAGAAGCGCCCAGGAGGCCCCAAGAGGTCCCAAGATGGCCCCAAGATGCCCCAAGAGGCCCCCAGGAGGCCCCCAAGAGACCCCCAAGAGGCCCCAAGAGACCCCCAAGAGGTCCCAAGAGGTTCCCCGAGGTACGCAAGAGGCCCCCAGGACCGCCAAGAGGCCCCAAAAACGGCCCAAGAGGCCCCCAAGCTCGCCATTGTCCTCCTCTTCCTCCTCCTCTTGTTTTTCTTCCTCCTCCCTCCTCCCCCTCCCTCTCCTCCTCCTCCTCCTTCTCCTCCTTCTCCTCCTTCTCGTCCTCCACGTCCTCGCCCTCCTCCATCTCCTCCTCCTGCTCCTCATATTCCTCCTCCTCCTCCCCCTCCTCCTCCTGCTCCTCCTCCTGCTCCTCCTCTTCCTCCTCCTACTCCGACGACGACCACTCCTTCTACATCCTCCCCCTCTTGGTGTATATGGCGGCTTGCCCCGTCCTTTGTTCTTCTGCATGCTACCCCGCTTCCCTCATCACCTCCATTCCCCTGGGGCTCATTTCTGGACGGGCTGCTGGGGATACGCGACGCGTTTAGAATGTTTTAAAGGGATGGCGGGGGGGTGTTGGCATGGGGACGGGTTGGCTGCCTGTCGTGTGGGATGGGATGTTTGTTGATATGGGGGCAGCGATCAAGCTCCCAGCGGGAATGCCGCAAACTGTCTCGCTCACTCCCACCCGTCTTCCCACTACAGAAATAGCACCCGAGCTTCGGCCGCCATCGACAACCGTTGCGAAGCAATGCAGACGCCAGACAGGTGCGCGACGCCCGCGAGGTGCGCCGCACGTGCCAGGCCACCAGCACCAAGCACTTCACAGTGGGCACGAACTCCCACCATCCCTGTCGAAAACCGATTCGGTCACGGGGATTTTGCTGGCATTGTGTACTCTCTGTGCGTGTGTCGGCACGCGCAATCACTGTGCACGTGTTCTCGGCCGGGATGGTGGGCATGCGCACGGCATGCAATATGCTGGGCCTCGGCCGTACCTGTCATAACCCAATGCAAAGAGAGCACGGGCCGCCCGCACCTGATCCGGATTTTGGTGCAACGTTCACGCTGTATTCCCACTGTTGCCCGGGAAATGGCGGGGGGGGTTGGCATTGCACACAGCACGCGACATGCTGTCCTCCACGCCGTCCTTGTCAAAACCAAAGCGATGTGCCCGCGCTGGATCCAGATTTTGGAGCAGTGTGCACTTCGTATTGTTTTTTTTGGCATGGGATGGTGGGGGGGTGTTGGCAGTGTCCCTGGTTAGTCGCTGGTCGGGTGGGGGATGGGGGTGTTTCTTCAAGACCGGAAAAGTGATTCAGACTTTTCTCCCAGACTCAGGCGACCGCAAACATGGATTAAGGGGCCGTGGATTAGCGACGGGTCCCATCTCTACGGGAAATCGCGGATTTCCGCCGCCGAACGAGGCGGCACCAGCCGCATTTTGGGGAGGGCATCTCCCCCGATCCATGGATTTGGCGACCGGGCGCCAAATCCATGGATCGCTAATCCATGTTTGCGCGCCCCCGAAAGTGTCCCGCATGCTCCAGCCGCGCCAGGTGCGCCACGTTCAGGGCACGCGCAGAGTGTGCCTGTTGCGCCCGCCCGCATCGGGAAATATGTCGGCCCCACCATCTTCGTTGAAAGCCAACGCATAATCGCGGCGGAGTGGCCATCATGATATCAGGTGGGCCTGCGCACAGCAGGCAAGCGCCCCTGCCGTCCCTGCCAAAAATCCACGCGAAAGGATCGCGGGGTGCCACACGTGATCCTGACATAGCCTCGACATGCAGGTTGTCTTGTTTTTTGATGGGGACGGTGGCCCCATTCACAGCAGGCCATATGCTGGCACCCCCGCCTCCCCTGTTATAGAGACAATGCGAAGTGCTCGCGACCCCCCGAACAGGACCCACGATTTTGCCGCAAAGTGCACTTTGCATTGTTTTTCGACGGGGATGGCGTGCGTGTGTGTGTGTGTGTGTGTGTGTGTGTGTGTGTGTGTGTGTGTGTGTGTGTGTGGGTGCGTGCGTGCGTGCGTGCGTGCGTGCGTGCGTGCGTGCGTGCGTACGTGCGTACGTGTGTGTGTGTGTGTGTGTGTGTGTGTGTGTGTGTGTGTGTGTGTGTGTGTGTGTGTCTGTGTCTGTGTCTGTGTGTGTGTGTGTGTGTGTGTGTGTGTGTGTGCGCATTGTCCGGGGTTTGTCGCCAGTCAGGTGGGAGAAGGGGTGTCTATTCTTGAGGAGCAGTGATGAACCCCTCCTCCGAGCAGCGGGAGGAGGAGTTGTTGGAAGAGGGAAGAGACCAACTCGTTATACCACCGCCTTCGCCCAGATGGCTGGTGGGATCCCATGTCACAGAATTCGAGGAACTCTCAAGCGGGAGCCGCATTTCGAAAACGTACCAGACTCTATTCTAGCATACGTCGTTTTTTTGAAAACGATCTGCCCTCCATCTTGAAGACGATTGGCCCTGCATACGTGTAACCGTTGGAATGCTTTTTAGCTTCAGGATTGTATCGTGCAAGGACGTACCATGCGAAACACCCTGCCCAGCCTTCGGAAACGTCTTGGTGGCGCGACAGGGCGCATTTGTCGCCACCTTCGTAGGCTCCTGGGAGGTCGCGCGGAGTGGGGTTGTACGGGGATCCAGGTTGGACCTCGCGCTTCCTGGGTGGCTGCGAAGTGCGAAGCTGTCGCCACTTTCGTGGGCTCCTGGGAGGTGCCGCGGCGTGGAGTTGTAAGTTGTACGGGGATCCAGCTGGGGCTTCGCAGCTCCTTGGAGGGCTGCGGAGTGTGGAGCTGTCGCCACTTTCGCCTGCTCCTGGGAGGTCCCGGGGAGTGGGCGGACACGGGAATGCAGTTGAGAGTTCGTTGCTCCCTGGGGGGCTGCGAAGTGCGCGGAGTGCGCGGAGTGCGCAGCCTTCGCCGCTTTCGTGGGCTCCTGGGACGTCCCGCGGAGTGGGGGGACACGGGAATTCAAGTGGGGCCTCGGGGCTCCCTGAGGGGCTGCGACGTGCGCAATTGTCGCCACTTTCGTGGGCTCCTGGGGGAGAGCATGCTGCTTTGCATGAATTTGATGCCAAGGAATGGAAGATGAATTGGATCCGTCAAGTGGAGGAGTCTTGTGTGCCGGCGTAGGAGCTATGCTGCTTCTTTCTGGTAGTTGGCCAGCTTATGGTGCCGACCCATGCCAACCCCGTCCCGTCTCTAGGGACTTCGCATGCCCCTATGATGGTGGGGTGGCGAGACGGTCCGCCGCCCCCTGCGCTGCACGTACTGCGCAGGGTTAGTGGGGATTTGAGTCTGCCTCGTGGCGGCAACCCGCAGCGGGGGCCTCGCGGCGGCCGCCCATTGAGAGGGGGCACAGGGGGCCCAGCTGAGACCTCGCTGGCCCCTGGGTGGCTGCGAAGTGCGCAGCTGTCGCCACTTTCGTGGGCTCCTGGGAGGTCCAGCGGAGCGGGGGGGACACAGGGATCCAAATGGGACCTCGCTGGCCCCTGGGTGGCTGCGAAGTGT